GACAGACCGAGGAGAAAGCATTCGTTGCTCGGGGTCCCAAACAATAAAGAATAAGATCATTACTCATAGAAAATTGGTGTGCACGCTGCCCACCCCAATGATTACCTACTAGCTACGCTGTTAGCAATGATGAGTCTTCAAGGTATAAATAGTCTTCACAAATGCAGAAAGGGGTACGCAACAAACCCTCTCTCAACCTCATACAGTATTTTTCTCTTCCCCTCTCTCAAAGAACTGACTTGATCGTCGAAGGGGATACACCGAAAAATACTCCGACGCCCTTCTAACCTATTTTTCTTTGTTCCAGGAACCTCCTTTAACCTTCCAAGATCACTCAAGCGATTCATAAAAATGATTCATTATCGTCCTTGGGCCACCTTCGACACTCACAACCCGTTCCAAGTAGCAAGATCGACCACCCGATTGACGGACATGTGTTCACTACGAAAAATCTGTTATAGTATTTATATTGTGCAGGATCTTGCACGCACATTATCAAACCTGAAGCTTGTTCAGCATAAACTTTACATAAATCTTCAGCCAAAACTAATCAAATACTTCAACTAATCAGATCAAAAAACTTCAAGCCTTCAGCTCGTTGAAACTAATACAGATCTAAATACATATCTAAAATGGAGAGAGGAGCAACACCTTCGATTTGGTCAATGAGCTCCGTTGTTCAGCGTAGATGGAGTCTTGAACAGAGGAGCAACATCAAAGCTTGGAAAGAGAGAGAGAGAGAGACAGAAAGAAAGAGAGAAAGAGTGGAGGGCCTGGAAAGTGGAGGCGCAACACAAAGCTTCTTGCCGTTCAGCGGAGATGAAATTAGATTAGGGTTAAGGAAAAATAACTATATACATTTTATGTGTATATATCATTAAAAAAAATTTGGTTAATTTTTTTAAAATAATTATAAATTTATTATTGTATTAATTTTATTTAAACGGGTAAATGAGTTGACATGTCTCACCCAAACACAACCCGTTTATTAAACGTGTTAAACGGGTCAACCCGTTTATCACCCAAATCTGTTAAGATCTCACCCAAACCCGTTTAATCCGTGTCGATTCGTGTCAGTTAATCGTGTTGTGTTGAATTTTGACAGACCTAAGTACACCAAAGGATACAAGGACCCACCACAGAATTTTCACAGGAAAAAAATTACATGGGTCTTCATGACTATCATGCATGCAAAGGCCAACAAAAGAATGACCGTGCATGCATGAGGCAACTAGTCAGGACAATACTTTCGGCAGTGGAGAATTTACGACAGAGGATTAAGGCCCCATTTTTGAATTTTTTTTGCTTCTAAGCATCACCATGATCGGCGCCCAAAAAATAGTTATAGTCAAATGACAATTGCAGACAGACTATAGTGTGCACACACCGGATGCTTTCTGCAAACCTGGTGTGTGTAGGGGCCAAATATAGTACTCGATAAATTCAGAACATGTGTCTGCACTATGATAGGGCAAATAGCATAAGTCATCAACTGACATGGAAGTGGGGCCTGACATGGTGCAACTAGACTGGTATAAATAACAATGTAAGGGTAGAACGCACCAAGGCGTGATGCCCCTAAGCACGACACCCCATGTGCGATGCCCCTAGGCAAGGCAACCATGGTGCGATGCCTCCAAGTGTGACACCCCATGTGCAATGCCCTCAAGAAAGACAAACAAAGTGTGATGCCCCCAGGCACAACTCCCCAGGGCGCAACAGGAGGAAACACATCTCCACTGCATTAGAAGTAGAAAAATGGACCCCTGACCAAGAGTGGACAAAATCCTGAACATATTGGACACCGTTAGTCGACCCACTAGACTAAGAGAAGGGGTCCCCACCTAGGGACAGGGCAGTATGACCGTCCTCAAATGAGATATGAGCAACAAGGATGGACAAGTATGATTGTCAACCTTAGCCTGAGCAAGGTCTTGAAGGTTTATTTTCTTCAAGCACGCCTTCTGGTGTATGGCTTAGCACCATGCGAATGTGTTTGACTGGGATCCAGAGGGACTCTTAAGGTAACCGGGGTTATTAGTCTGAATCAACATATGAGAAAATGGGATATGTGGATTGGTGGCTAAAGGATCGAAACTATTTGGGTTTTCTCTATCAGGCACCTCGATGAAAGTCTTGAGGAAGGGTCTAGGGAGGGAAAGAAGGACCCTGGGTAGTAGCATGCTGGGGACGTCGCGGACATGGCCTTCTCAAGGTCATGGTCCCGCGGGGACTAGTTATGGTCATGGACTTGGGACCTCACTTTTACCTCGGTTGTCAAACCATCGTTAGAGCCACGTCCAAACTTTTTTTGAGAAAATGTCACATCCGCTTAGTTAATGTTATAACACGTGGCTCGCAGTTAGCGACTACTGGCATTATCGCGATCGAGGTAGTTGTGAGTTTGCGCGAGTGGTAGGGGGTTGTAGCGGGCAGCTCAGGCACTCTGCTATATCAGTTCGTTCTTTCGTTAGCAAACTGCTCGAATTTCTTTCAAATCATTCGCTTATCCTAATCATCTGCTTCGATTATCTTTTACATAGACACGTGTAACAATATTTTTTAACTCTCCACCCACAAATAATATCGAATAACTGAAAATCAATGTGATCGAGCCCTAGATCTGCAATACCTCGGCTAGCTTTCCTATTTGTCTCCCTCTTTTCTCTCTTTTATGGGTTATGAGTTTGAGGTGCTTACGAATTTTTGCAGACGCGCGGTGTATGAAGGTGGAGAGTATTTATTGAAACAAAAGCCCTGATTCAAACCGACTTAAGTTTGTCGACTCCTTTCAATCCGATTGACCAACGTGCAAAAAGTCAATCGACTAGCAAAACTCTCTAGAATGAGTCTGTCAGCCTTTGAAATACTCAAATCCCAAAATTACACTTAAACCCCCAAGTTTTCCAACTAAATTCAAATTCTCTTTTTTTAAATTATGTTTTCCTGCCCTATTCTTTCTAGGTTCATTTCCAACCCAAATATGTCATAATAAATATATTTACTACACACATGTATATTTATTTCAATAGCTAATCCGATCTTATTCATTAATTAAACATGTATATTTATTACAGATAGACTGGTTCTACTAACCGATAGGCCAGGCAAAACCTCTACCAAAAATTTTACTTGACCATAATACTTGACCTTTTCACCGCCTATCCAGACGATCGGACCAAACCAAAAAAAATGGTTAACAATATTTGTAATTACACCCAAAATCAAATTACAAATATAAAGCAGAGATAAAAGAATTTAAATACCGATTGTAGCTAGGGTGAGCTATGGTACTAATGGTGGTGGGAGACGGTGATGGGATGGTGGTGGTGGGGTAGTTGTGGGGTGATGGTGGTGGTGGTGGTGGTGATGGGGGGTGACAGCGGTGGTGGGCAGTGGGGGATGGTGGTGGTAGGGTGGCGATAGTGATAATGACGGTAGTGGTGGCCCGATAGGAATAGTAGTAGTGGTGATGGTAGTGGTGGTGCAACAGGTGTAATAGTGGTGGTGGCATGGTGACAGTGGTGGTGGTGGTGGTGTGGTGGTAGTGATGGTGGTGGGGGTAGTTGTGGTGGTGGGGTGATGGTGGTGGGGCGGTGGAGGTGGTGGTGGGGTGATGGTGGTGGGGCGGTGGAGGTGGTGGTGGGGTAGTTTCAAATATTAATTTTTTTTTAAAAGTACTTTTGGAAAGTTATAAATTCTTGAGTCTATTTTCTCTATTAAATTTGGAGTGTTAATATTAGCTGTCGGATTAACTTTAAAGTAAATTTAAAGAGATCTCAACCGTGAAAAACAAAAATCATTTTGTTTATCTTTTGAAATTTGAATTGTATTGTACTTTATTATATAGATATATATATACAGATACATACACACAAATTCACTTTGTTCAGTCCACCCCTACGTTCATCTCCGCATGAATTTATACGAGTATATTCATATAAGTTCACCGTCAAATACGTATGTTCCATATTTGATCAAAACAGTGTGAATTTGAACGAATTCTCATTTTTTTCCAGTCCACTATCATCCTTATTCCAAACCCATGAAACAAATTTCTTTTCCAATAAAGAATAAGAAGCAGGCCTTCTTCCCCCAGGTCCAGGATGTAGGACACAGGCCCCTTTCAGCAAGTAAACATATAACCACAAGCTGTAAACCTAAAACTGATCCCAAAAATGGGATTTCGCACGTAGAAACTCCAGCGTGGTATGCAAATGCCACGCTTAAGTGTCGAGTTATCATATTTTCCGATCAAAAGCAATTCGAGAGCCTTAACTCTAACCAGTTCAAGGTCGTGGTAGTGTTGAAACCACTGTCAAAAAGAAGGCTCACTTACTATCGCGTGTTATCTTCCTGGAGACGAGAAAGCATAAAATGTTACAATAAATAAAATAAAGAAATAATTAGACTCAGACTGACTTAGATTTGTGTTAAACCCCATTAATAAATTACACTCAAGACTCCCTGAATTTGTATACTTATAATATGTAAACCCCTCGAATTTAAAATATTATACTTATATTAAAAATATTCCAATAAAAAATAAAATATTAAATATTTTAAATTTTACAACTAAAATTCTTATTTTATTATACCATTTATTAAAATAAAAATTCATTTAAAAAATCATAATTAATATACAATAATACATTTATTGAGATAATTTGATCATTTAATAAATTTTATTAATTTTATAACTAATAAAAGATCTAAGTATAATATTTTAAATTTAAAAAAGTGTGCATAATTCACCAACATATATATTAAAGGACATTGACGACAGAAGTTTAAATATTAAAAAGTCTAACTGATTAAATGACAAACAATGACAAACTGGAAAAATGTACGGAAAGTCATAATTTCAATAGGAATAAATAATTTCTGCAATCCAACAAGCAATGTAAGTACCAGATAAATAATCCCCTTCTCTGGCAATAAACAGGAGCATGACCATCTTAGAGAACTAAACAACTATATGAATAAATTTGAGACTTGCATTATTGGCCCTCGTCCAATGGATCGTTTTGGTTACAAGTCTGAGATCTCAACTCCTCGGATTCTGCTGATTTCGAAACAGAATCTTCAAGTGCCTCGAGAAAGGAGAGAACGGTGAATTTGTCTGCACAGAAAGGACAAGCAACAAAAGCAATTAGATGTAAAACAAATGAACGCTGTTATGGATGTCATATGAATGATCCTGCAAATTCTCAATGTTGACACGCAAACCTTCATCAAGCTAACCTAAAGCTTTAAATTTCAATCAATTTTTTGTTGTCTAAGCAGATCCCTAAAGCAAAGATTCGAGTGGGGATTCCTCAATAATTTCAAAAGGAAAAACTGTTGGCACAAACATCAGCAGCTTATTTATTTGTCCCTAATAAAAAACTGGAATCTATGAGATTGGACAAGGACATAAACGAGAAGCACATAAAGCAATCAGCATCCCAATTAACAATTTATTTCAAGCCATGGAGAGAGTTTGAAGCTCCAGCGTGCTTACATTTACTGGGGTCAATTCCAAACTGAGTCAGATCTATCTGTCCAGTTCGAAGCACCTACAAATAAACACAAAATTACAAAGCTCCCAAACATGTATAAATACTACAAATTACAGAAAGCTGTGTGCACAGGGTATCAGTTTCTCACATAAGTAAATGAATCTACTTGTTGGCGGAAAGGAGGGCTCTGTAATAACTCCCCTAAATCCTCCAGCGTCCATCGGCCCTGCAACAACACAACAATTTTCATAAATAGCGAAACAAACTTCAGTGATTCAGAAAAACCAGGGGCACCAGAAGCATTTACCTCAGGTAAGTATGACGAAAGCTGTTGTTCTAATGCTAGTGTCTCGACCAATGGCACTATCAAATCAGGCTTCAAAATATCCCCCAATCCCAAGCCTACAATGGAGGACACAAATTGAAAATATCAGAGAAATGAGGAAGGAGTAATTTAATGGCAGGCCTACCAAACACACAAGACAAGATAGTATGCCACTAGATAAATGTCAGAAAGCATCAGTAGATTTCTATGTCTACTTAATGTTCCTGCATTTTAGCTCAACAAAGTACTCGTTCTAATTTTGAGAATATAAAAATCAAAGTACAAACCCCACTTAGTTTGGTATGCCAAATTGAGGGTCAGATGACATAATAAAATGCCATTGAGAGAGGCTTATTAGTATTAAATCTCTCAAATGTTTGAGCTAACAACAGAACTTTTGGGATAGAACATCTCCTGATCAGGATAGTCATTGAATACTAACGTGTAAATGAAGTAAGAAGATGCTATCATGCATCAACTAAATTATTACCTCCGTCTGGATCTCCAGCTTCATACATTAATAATCATGAAAAAAAAATCAGTTCAAAAGTGGTCATAAATCAAAGAAGACAATTTAGCAAAAATCTTGAACCCAGACCAGAACTAAACATTACCTGCAGGCCCAATGTTACTCAATATCCTTTGCAGATCAGCCAATTTTATGGATCCTGAAGAAGTTACATCACTAGTTGTTTCTGCACCAATGCTTGGGCCAACCATATTTCCATCCCTGAAAATAGAATAACTATCACATCAAAATGCCCACCAGTGAATAGCATCTGGTATGTCACAAAAATAAATAAGGGCAAGGCTATCAGATAGATACAAGTCAGAAATGTAAGGAATAATTCATTAATACATTAAAAATGTATTATGTAGTAAACTATCTCTCAACATTCCTATGTTGTAATATCAATTGATTGAAAAAAAGGAGCCCAAAAATCCATCAATTTTTTTGGACAACTCCGCCGTTTCGGGAAAGTCCAGGAATCTTAAAGATAAAAGGCAAATAATCACACATTAATAGAAACAGATTATGCAAGTAGCGATTGTCAGTAGCTATGAAGCCAAGAAGACTTGTACTTTGATTTGGCAAGTATGCTTTCAATTTCTTCATCTTTTTATGTAAATTACATCTAGGCATTGTCAATTTCTTGCTTAGGTCATGGCTTTATCTTGTCTTTCCCCTTTTTTGGGCTTTTTGTTTCTTGTTAATTTGATTTTTGAGATCCAATGATGAATCAATCTAGTCGGTGGCAAGTTTGGATGAGTAAACCAAATTTACTCTAAATTTCACCGATTCAACCTATTTGTATCCAAGTAAAGACCAATCCAATTGAGACTCGTAGATTACACTTGATGTGTAGTGTTATTAGTTTGGTTGAAGCCAAGTCACATCGAACTTGGCCAATACTTTGAACCTTGGTTATGATGCATTGGTTTTTGGTATTATGTCACTATAGTTACTACATAAATTTACAGATTTCCTTAAAAAGCAATAATGTTATAAATTACTTACCAACTCAATAAAGTATAATCCTTACTATTTGAGGTCGCCACGTAAATCATGTTCCATGATAGTGTACCCTTTGAAAGGTCATATCTTGTAGTAAAACATAAGCTATCATATATTTTTATACAATTTTTTATACTAAAAAATTTATATTCAACAGTGTACTTGTGCTCTTCACATCTTTGTCCATGGGCTGAGCCAGCATATGCCCATGGGAGGCACATGCCCACCCTCAAATTTTTATTTTAACTTTACCTATATGTATTTTAAATATTTCTTCAATATTTTTAACTACGTCCACCCTATTTTTTTGGCACATCAATTAGTGTACAGTTATATCAAATGAATATGAATTTTTTTGACACATTTTAAACATGTTATGTACCTATCTACATAAATTTTGAATATATTATAATCATTTTATACTTTCTAAGACTAATAAAAATGATATACATATTAACTTACTTGTGATTTTGACATTTATTTTGCTAATTACGGTAGACATTATAGAGCGCACATTGAAGTACATAATGGAATGAGTGATAAATATCAAAATGATAACATGATTGTATATACAAAAAATAATAAAATTGTTATGCAACGGTTTCAAAGTACGAAAATTCATCAGAATCGATTCTAAATGATTTTAATTAGCTTATATTTTGTAAAAAAAATAAGATTAGTCTTTTTTTTTTAATTGCTGTCATTTGTATACTCTAGGCCCACCAATTTTTGGTCAGTTGGGATTAATGAAATTTTAAGTATTAAATAGAATGTAATTAAATACAAATTATTATCCTATTTCTATCAATTAAAAGAAAAAAAAATAGTTTGTTGAAAAATTTGTGCCCACCGTGGCACGATTTTCTGGCTCCGCCCCTGTCTTTGTCCTATGTTAGACGTGTGGAGTCCAATCTTGTCTCAGATAAAAAAAAATTCATCGCCAATTTTTTTTTCTAAAATTCAAGCATAATAAAAATACGAAGACTCAACGCTAAATTATTAAATGAGACAAATCAATACCATTCAGCTTTAACAAAATAGCAACAAAAAATGCATAAATAAACTTTCACTTTATACATTTCAACTCAATCATGTATTAAACTAGAACAATACAGTATTTTGAATTCCAAAAAATACATATATTTGATTTATTTTGTGCTAAAATTTCCCACGCCAATCAAAGGGCCTAGGAAAAAATCATTATTCATTTTGTTGCGAAACCTAATTAAAATCATCCTCCATCTTGTTGAAATTTTGATTATTTAAAAGCGTAGAAAAACGCTTTTCGTTTAGAATATTTTATCAATTGCATCCATCTGTGTTTCCGTGGGTCACGTGTTGCTCACTTAAAAAAAGAGAAAATGTCAACTATGCTATTGTTTTACAAAATAGGGGCCAATTTATTAAGTAGTAGAGAAGTATTGTCTTTGGAAATATACGGGTTAGACATGCACATTTGTTATACTCCATCCAAAAATAAAGTTTTACTGGTTTACGGGAAAACGGGCCAATCCTGATGAAAAGAAAAATAACTAGGACACTATATAAATCTTCAAAAATTTAAGAGGGCAATATACTAAATGTAACAAGTGTTATGGTCTCCCTCATAATCCATCTGTAATGTTATTCCAAAGTGAGTGGGAGGCAGCTGCCCCCACACCCTAAAACATAGATCCGCCCCAGTTTGTGCCCATGCTTCATAACGTGCCACGATAATGCAACAATAACTCACTAAACTAAAGGCTCAACAAATGTGCCTCAATATGAAAAAAGAATAAACAAACAAATAACCAAAACTAAACAATCTAAACCATGGACACTTATTGAACAAAAATAATTTCTCAATTGGAGTAGAGCTTAAAGATTGAATATAAAATATGTCAGATGTTAACCATTAACACTGAATTAAATTTCTTCCACTTGATCATTTAAGTACCACTTGCACCCTCTGGCCAGCTAAAAGACCAGGTGAAAATTGAACATAGAGGTTAAGCCTGGCATCCTCCGTTTACAATCAAAGTATACGAAACCCTCCAAAATAGAAACACCAAGCAACAAGCATGTTCATAGAAAATCAATCATAAGTGATGGAAGACAAAATGTTGCTCCTTGAGAACCATAAGAAGAATGAATTAAGCATGACAGGCATCAATTTGCAAACCAAAATCTCCATGCTCCCTAAACACTTGATGATTAAACTTTGAGGATGATCTGCGTGACACTTGGCAAAATATGCCAGTAAGCTAGACTTATTAATGATTCTAGAGGACATTTTATCCCCGTTCAAAAAAAAAAAAGATGACATTTTATCTTCTTCACAAATAGACGTTTCAATAAATCTGCAAGGCACTAAAAATAATAATTTACTACCAGCAAATGAATTTAAAAAGAAAAAAAAAAGGTAATAAGAAATAAATCAAGGAAACTAAAAGCACTCAATGACAGTAGCTAGGAAAACTCTTAGAATACAGCTAGTTTAGGACAGAACTGTGTTCCATGCTCCTTTATCAAACATATCTGTGGGGAATTTCAGAGGGATGTCTTTATGGGATTTTCAGCAAGATTGGAAGGAGCCTTGATTTTAGCTTTCTATTATTTTTTATCCTCAATATTGTATTGTTTCTATCTCTTATCTCACTTAATAGTATTCTTTTTTTAACAAAACAAAAAAAAAAGGAAAAATTGTAGAATTCAAAATTCAAAGGCAAAAACCGGCCATCAAAACAGAAATAAATGTGCATATGAAATTTTTTGACGTTAATTTAAAATCCATCATCATCTGAGGATTTTATTCATGCTAAGCACAAAGTTAAGTGAACGTTACTGTGATGGGATATCATCTTCAACCATGTCATCAGAATTTTGCAGAGGAACTGAAGCATCAGGCTCTTCTCCACCAGGAAACTCTGCTAAACCAAAATTTGAATGAGTCCTTAAGTTGGTGGAGAAATGTTAAAGCATTAAACCTGTATCAAAGTCCTAATAGGTAATTAGACAATCTCTACAAAGTGAAACAATATGAAAAAAAAAGTTAGGCAACTACAGTAAAACCAAAACCTCAGGGTCTTTGGCCCCAAGTCGTACCAACTATCCTCCCCAAAGGTTCAAGCTCCTCTTTGGAGGCATGAGGTTGCAGTGGCTGATTGGGGACAAATTACACAAACAATTAAGAATAGTATAAACCACAAACTTAAGCATCCCTCAACCTCAAGCTAGACCTGAGTCATTCCAAGAAGTAAAATGAACTCCAAAGTGATCAATCTTTCAATGTCACGGAGAATGCAAAAAAAAAATTCTCATTTTGCCCTTCCCTCTCCACCAAACTCTTGCCACTGTCCCATCTCAACAGCACCAACACCATTGTCACTACTTCACAATTGCCACCACCACCCCACACACACTGTCGCCACCTATCATGATCATGTTCAAGATCGTATCGATTACTAATTAAATCTTAATCAATTAATTAATCGTATTAGATGTCTCAAAATAACATGTGTCATGTTTAAGTTGACTCATATTAACCGTGAATCAAAAATCTAACTCTAGAACTTTTTTTTACTCGACCAAACCCACCATTGTCACCACCATCCACACACCACAACCACCACCATCATCCCCCACCTCACCACCACCACATCCACCATCACAATTGTGGCCACCGCAACCGCGACAACCATGAAATTCCTTCGCACAAAACTACAGTTGCAATCTATTGAATTGCATTAAACCTCTAAATTATATTATGTTGGCACACTGAGAGTTGTAGTTGTAGGACAAATTCTATCCCCATCAACTTACATAAATTGTTGAGAAAATACAAAACAAAGAGAAATAGTCAGTGGTACCTTATCTTGCAAGCACTTTATCACTAATTTAACAAAAGTTGCACCACATCCAGAGAAGAAATAGCAAGAAAGCCAAAATTCAGAGCAACCGGCCTAGACCATGGAACCTCCAAGTGCAAACAAGGCCTGGAATATTGGACCTCTGATATGTGACATCTCCCCCCCCCCCCCAATTCTCCCTGTGTGTGGATCTGGATCTACATATATAGCATTTTGGGATTAGGGTTTATGAGCTTTTCTGGTCATATAAGCTCCATTCAATGGACTTTTTCTGACGAATGTCGTCGCTGATCTAGAGTTGTCGAGAGATATGATTGTTGAGTGCACAACATTGCGTAGCTTATAGTTTAATTCATCCACATTATGCACGTGTTTAATGCTTAATTCTTTGAATTGTGTATGATTGGAGTAACAGAGTGGAATAATAGAGTGTATTTGTGGTCGTAGGTACAAAAGCGATGATGGGGAATAAGTGGAAACAAGCAAAAAGTCATTGGAAGCATTGGAATGAAGTGAAGTTGAACCAGAGGAGCAAAGAGGAAAAAAATTAGAAAAAGGGCAGACCAATGGGTTGAACTTCGACCGCTTCAACAGGCTGACAGAAAAGCTTCAACCGCTTGAACAAAGGCTCAACCGGTTCAAGGTGTTGATCAGAACATGGCCAAGATGCTACCTAGGCTTCAATTGGTTGAACACACAGTTCAACCGGTTCATCAGAATTTATCAAGATGTTGGATACCTTTCAACCGGTTGAACAAGGACTTCAACCAGTTGAACCTCTTCCTCAACCAGTTCATCATGTTACGGCTACAACACACTATTTCCCGGACTTTGATACGTTTGCAAGGGTTGGCTTTCTTCACTCCCACACACTCAAGGGGAGGCCACCAATCTCCATAATCTTTCTTTTGATTGGTTGTTGGTACCTCCAAGAGTTCACATGAGCACTCCGATTGGACGACACCGACAGAGGAAGCTTATTAGGGAGATCACCCACCACCCACGCCACATATTTGGCCAATGAGGAGGAAGAATAAAAGGCTATATATATGCATTCCTATACACATAGGAGGAGTTCTTTAAGCTTTTGCTTAGCTTTTGGCTTAGTTTGAAAGTTTTAATTTGTAGTTTTACATTGTTAGATTTGTGTCGAGTTTCGGAGAGGACAACTTGTGTATGTTTTATTTCTATTTCAAAGCTTTGTTGTTGAATCTTGTTCTTGTGTTAATATTTAACATTTTGAAGCAAATCTAGTTGAATTATTCTCTTTCAATCATATTGTTTATTTCCATATAATTTACATGTTGTTTGTTGTCGATTTCGATTTGATGGTTTTGCTTCCGGCTAAGTTTCGGCGCGATTCAAGGGATGATTCTCATTTGTGATTAAGCATTGTTGATTCTCTATTGTATTCTGATTACGTAGTATGCTTTATAGATGGTAAAATTATTTTTGAAAACTAGTGTTTATGTATACACTTTGATTTCTCATCGACGGATTTCTAGCACGATTAATGCTTAGAGTATATGTATA